TATATATGCTATATATTTCATCTTTATTTTTAAACGACTGTTCGAGGAAACAAATAGATTTAATATGAACTGAAAAGTTTCAGGTAAAATTTCATGGAAGTTGGATTTATTTTCACATTAAATCGTGAATCACTCGCGCCCACACCTAAAGTGAAGCTTTGTTTAAAGGAAGGCAACAAAAGGGTGTGTGTGTGCGCGCGCGCGTGTGTGGATTGGCATGAGAGCGTGAGCAACCTCCCCCTGTCCCGCGGACTTGCTCAGAGGCCTGATCAATGCGACGTTACTAAACACTGCTACTTAACTTTTGCCAATAGGCAGATTCAAGTAAATATACTTTAGAATACATTAGGAGCGATGCATCACAGCACGGAGTCATTCAAAGAGTCATGAAAAGATCAGTCTGTCTCTAACAAGTGATTCTTGGGGAAATAGACAAGCCCGCTGTGTGTGTGTGTGTGTGTGTGTGTGTTGTAAACAATGAAGGATCAGGTAAGAACAGTTTGGAAGTTAATTAATAAGCTTATACTTTGAATAAAAGTTTGGAGGTTAAAAATTGGAAGAGCTGTGCGCGTGTGTGTAGATACATTTTAGGATAACATTTACTATAGAATAAAAGTAAAAAGTAAAATAGTATTATAATCAACACAATTAATATTATTATTACTACCATCATCAAAGACTCAGAGGTTTTGATTCAGCATTGATTAGTTGATCAGTTATCGGCAGCAGAGCCTCAAGACTAAACATCAACTGTAAGAATCGTCAAACACTCCCGAAACTACACTTAGTCACCACTTTAATGATTAAATTCCACTTTATAAGAACGATTAAAACAGTATTTAGTAATGACTCATAATTACTTCTGAAACAACATTGTTGGATTTTAAAATCAGCAATAAAACTTTTGAAGCTGGCTCACTGGTTGGAAAAAAAATCAAGTCTTTTCAAGTGAGTGAGACATTTTTACATGTTATTTTGTTAGATTACGGGGAGATTAATGGAGTGCTGCTTGGATGATGCTTGGCAATGTTTTAAAAATGTTACGGATAAATGACAACTGCATTATTAATGAAAGGTTAAATGAGGCACAGATTGTTCAGTGTCCTGAGATGACATCTGTTGTGACTTGGGGCTTTATAAATAAACTGAATTGTGTTGAAAAGCACTTTGAGTATCTTGAAAAGATAGACAGGGGTTTTACAAGAACAGCTCATTTAATTGTTTATAAAGGGTGCCCTTATCCTAAAGAACCACGATTCTTCATATTTGCAGAAGTGATTCTTTTTTTTTAACTTGATGTTAATAAGGTGGAAGCGGGTGCATACAGTCTGTTGCAAAATGGACGCTCAAACAGCGCAGATCCCCCCCCCCCCCAAATAATATGAAATGAATGACTATTCTGTGCAGCATCGCCCCACAGTCACAAAAACAGATATTGACACAGTTAATATTTCATATTGTATTCGCCACAGGATATTCAGATATTCTAAAAGCACTGCGTTACAATTCAAATTAAAACGGAGCTCGAGGCACACACACACGCGCGCCCCCCCCCCCCCCCCACACACACACACACACACCCACACACACCCCACACACTTACACATTTATTTATCTGCTGATGTGTGTTTAAATTCACATTTTTGTTCGTCTCAATTTAAAACAGATCTACATGCAAGAAAATAGAAGAAATCAGCAATGATTGATTAGAAATGGTTTTTGATTAACCCCCCTCACTCTCTCTCTCTCTCTCTCTCTCACACACACACACACACACACACACACTGATGACCCTGCCATAGACCCAGCTGTTTTTGTTTGTTTGCTGTTGTTTTTTTTGTTGTTGTTGTTTTTTCCCCGTGGATTAAAAAAGGAGAAACAACAACACTCGCTGCAGAAAAGGTTGGAGTTTCAGTAAAAGTCCCCAAACTTTGTTTTAATCGCAGCTCCTGGTGAATTAGGAGCAAAGGAGCCGCAGCAGTGAAAGTTACCATCCATCACCAGCGCGACCAATAAGCTGCTGTGGCCGGCCGGCTGAGCACAGATGACGGATTCGCTGCTGCGCGGGCTTCCGTAATTCATTTTCGATATCGGTGGTTGCTGGGATCAATAGAGGGACATTAACCCGAGCGGATACTGCTGTTCTCCTGGTGGCACAAGCCGAAGCCACACCCCCCCCCCCCCCCCAACTCCTCCTCTCCTGCGTTGGCACGGAGGGTCACCCACCGTGGAAAAGGAGCTGCTGTGCGCCAGGACATCACAACTCATCAGAGTGGTTATGGATGACCGTGACCTAACTGTTTACAAACACGGATCAGGGGTGGGTGGTGGTGGTGGTGGTGGGTTATTATATGCAACATGCAAATGATTGGTGATGATACACAGGATTGTTTGAATATTTTTGTAGTTCTCATTTAAGATTTTGCGTAAAAGCGGTGATAAATGTAAAGGAGTAGTGTACACACACACACACGCGCGCGCGGACACTGTGCACAGGAAAGTATCATCTAAAACCTCATCTTCAGCTTTGGGCTCGTGTTTGAGAGACAAGATACGCCCTTTGGCCTTTAGAGGGTTTGTTTGTGTTTGTAAAGTTTACCGAGAAGAAAAAGTTGAAAAACACTGGTCGTCTTTAACCTTTTGACCACCGGGCTGAAGTTTTCCACACTTACTTTACAGCTCAAAACGACCCTTAGAACAAAAATCCAATCCCTCGATCTGAACGTGCGAGCTGCTGTGTTGCACCCATACCAGGAGGGCCCCTGCAAACAGGCACCAACCTATCGACGCACCCCCTGATCCATACGCACTCTGACATTGATGGATGGCTGAACTGAACTGACATCGGCGAGCCGCAAAGTTTCATGCAAGAAGTTTGCAAAGGCGTGAAACACGAGAGTTGATGCGCCGGAGTTTGATTTTTAGTTTTCTTTAAAAAAAAAAAAAAAAAAAAGTGGTCTCAATCCGAGCAGCAAAGAGGCGTAAAGATGGGTCAGAAGCCTAGAGGCTATGAAGAAATAACAGTCTGCAGATTCACTCCATAACACATGCTGCAGGGAAGAAAAATGAAGTTGGAAGAAAAGAAAAAAAATGATGGGAGCACGTTATGGCAAGAAATATTTAACCACTTTGCTTCTTACAGGCTGCGAGATGTGAAGCTGCAGGCGCAGCTCTCCAAATTATAACTCAATGCGCAATTATTGGTACAAAAAGTTTGAAAGCCCTGCAAGTTAAGTTCCAGTGACACGTCAATTAATATTTAACCTTCATCACATGCGCTGCTGGCGCCTTGTCAGAAGCTTTTATCAGAGAAAACAAGGAGCGAGCCCCCCCTTATCCATCTGGGTGCAAACGTTGCGCACTCCGTAACGGATTGCGCTTCTGTGTTTTATCTCAGGAGTCTAATGCAATCTTTTTCAGGAATTCGAGCTTCAGTGCAACGTGAAACAGCCCCATGACATGGGGGGGAGGAGGGAAGGAAGGGATGGGAGGCGGGGGGTGCAAGTGACGTCACATCAACCCCAGACAGGGTGCACGAGAGCGAGGATGTTCACCGCGGGGGCGCGCACATGCGCACAGGCTCGGTCTCGACTTAACAGGAGCGAGGGGCGCGTCGATATCCACACAGCGAGGCGAGCGGCGCTTCGGGTGCAGCAGCAAGGTGCGGAGCGGGGAGACACATCCAGCACGCGCGCTCAGCTCACGGGGTTTGCGGCGCAGTGTTTTTGCGTGGCGCGGCCGGGGATCGGACCTTTTTAAAACCATGCTGGATTGACCGCCAAGAAGCAAACCCCACAATCAATGGCTTGGCTTTGAAATCGTTGAGCATTTATTGGAAAGGAGCGCGAGACAGAGCGACAGTGGGGAGAGCGAGAGAAGCGAGATAGAGAGAGAGTGAGAGAGAGAGAGAGTGAGAGGGAGAGAGAGTGGCGAGTGTGGTGGAAATAAAGATCATTTTTGACCAGCGATGGAGCTTACAATGGAAAACATCGGAAATCTGCACGGCGTATCTCACGCCCATCAAACGAGTGACTTAATGAACTCCCCGCACGCGCGCCAGTCGTCGGCGTCGCATCGGAACTTGGTGTCGCACGGACGCTCGGCCATGGTGTCCAGCATGGCCTCGATACTGGAGGGAGCCGGGGACTACCGCACCGACCACGCGCTCTCAGGGCCCCTGCATCCGGCCATGACCATGTCGTGCGACTCCGGGATGAGCCTGAGCAGCACCTACACCACGCTGACGCCGCTGCAGCACCTGCCCCCCATATCCACCGTCTCGGAGAAATTTCACCACCCGCACCCGCACGCTCACCATCATCCGGCGCACCAAAGACTCGCAGCAGGGAATGTTAGCGGCAGCTTCACCCTGATGAGAGATGACCGAAGCCTCGCCTCCATGAGTAACCTTTATGGCCACTACCCCAAAGACATGTCCGGCATGGGGCAGCCCCTGTCTCCCCTCTCAAACGGTCTAGGGTCTCTGCACAGCTCCCAGCAGACTCTTGGCGCCTATGGTCCTGGAGCTCACCTCTCCAATGACAAAATGCTCTCGTCGGGGGGGTTCGAGTCCCACGCAGCCATGCTGTCCAGGGGTGAGGAGCATCTGGCTCGAGGTCTCGGGGGCCACGGGGCCGGGCTCATGACATCCTTGAACGGCATCCACCATCACAGCCATCCGCACTCTCAGGCAAACGGATCCATGCTGTCAGAGCGGGACAGACAGACGGTGGTGGGAGGTGGGCAGGGAGCCGGGTCAGGGCAGGTGGAGGAGATTAACACCAAGGAGGTGGCGCAGCGGATAACGGCGGAGCTCAAGCGCTACAGCATCCCGCAGGCCATCTTTGCTCAGAGGATCTTGTGCCGGTCCCAGGGAACTCTGTCCGACCTGCTGCGGAACCCTAAACCGTGGAGTAAGCTCAAGTCTGGCCGGGAGACGTTCAGAAGGATGTGGAAGTGGCTCCAGGAGCCCGAGTTCCAGCGGATGTCAGCGCTCAGGCTTGCAGGTGAGTGAGGAGACAGCTCCCAACCTGAGTGATGTGGAGGGATCAATTAGAAGTCAATGTGGCGAGACTGCCAATAGCTGCTCAAACAGACATTACCAGAAGTTATTAGTCGATCGTATTGAGTAAAAACTTCATCATGACAGTTGGGGTGTTAAATGTTGGGGTAAATCTATATTTTGATTGATGCTACAATCCACAGATGTATAAACAAACGCTAGTGATAAACAAAAACTCCTCTGAAGCAGAACGTGGGCAAGAGCAGAGCAAAAAAAGTTTGGTTTTACGCACATACAAGACTTTTACGCATGGATCCAGCATGGGACACATACGTGTTTCTTCCTCTGTCTCGTTCTCTATCTTTGTCTCACACAAGCATGTGACCATACAACCACACACAAACAGAAATTGGCCTAAAAGAAAAGCATAAATAAAAAAATCAAAGCCGGATGTGTAAAATAGACAAACATCAAGATGCAGACTATTGTTTATCACATAAATGGATATTTAGGCACTTTTCTTGTTATTAAAAAGAATTTTCGTGGCAAACAGGACAAGGCTTAGGCCTGACCAAAGAGCCATGGGGGAGCATGACCTCCTCTGGATCAATATTTCAGGTCCAGGCGTCCCCTTTCAGAGGAGCTGATAAATGATCGATTTGGATCTGAAAGGCAGAGACACAAACAGATGCGTCTTGGCACTTTGGGACAACACGTCTCCAGATTTGATTTAAGGGCCCGTGCAATCATGCAGCCGAGAAATTATTTCTCTGTGATTTGTGGAGCAATGCGCGCTCAGCAGAGTGAACACGTGAAAAGAAACAAACCTTTTTTTATTCAGTTTTGACTTTACTCACTGATCAGTCATTTCGATTTATATTGGGCCAAGATGACCACATTAAAGCCTGCGATTCCAACACTCCTCCCCTGCTAAAACCCCATTTAACACCTGATAAACGTTTAAGCATAAATGAAAAGGAAACGTCACGGTGGGGTTAAGATGGGGATGTGAGTGAGAGGTCCCCTCTCATCTCATCGATGTTTGTGTAAAGACCCTGTTTAGACGGCGCTGCTCCTCCAAACGTCAATCAGCGCATCTGCGTCGTATTTCAGCAACCAGTTCAATTAAGCAGATATAGTGGCATATTTTAGTTCCAGTCAATGCCCTATTGAAAAGCACTTAATGGCATGTAAATTGTTCCTTTGCGTATTTAGTGGGGTTCTGGTAAATAAAGATTTAAACACTCCACAATTGTCTCTTTAAGTGCCACTGCTGTTAAAGCTAATTGGGCTGAGGGGTTTTATATCTTCCACAGCCGGCACCAGGATAAAACCTCCAGAAGGAGCTGGAGAGCTACACATCTGCGCAGTGCATCACTAAATGTGGCCTGGCTCAGGTCAGATTAAGAATGGGAGAGATGCGTGTGCATAAAAGTGCGCATTTGTTTCTGTTTATTTAGTGGCCAAACGATTTTTGAATTTGATCCAATGCCTTCACCTGCAATCATTATCCTATTTCAAGAGTCCTGCTTGACATGCAGCAGATTTGAAGCCTCCATTGTACACACACACACAAGGAAACTCCATGTGTGCACAATGACAAATGACTCGTATGTAAATGCAGGGGAGCAACATTTTACTTACTGCATTTAAAATCACAATTATCCTCGGCGCACATGTGGGCTGGGAGTGGGAGTTAGTGGGGATTGGTGGTGGTGGATGGGGATGTGAGGGTGGGGGTGAGGGGGGTGGGTTGTGATGCTGAAAGTGAAGCTGGGCCATATACTCGCTTGGCCACATCAATCAATAAATTCAAATTACTATTCCAAATTCATCACAGTCACACAAATCAATGCAGCTGGCCTGCTTAGCTAATGCAAAAAATACCCGTGTCTGCACACACACGCGCGCACACATGCACACAAACATGGACGACGATCCACTGTTGAAAGGAAAACAGAAAATAGAGCATACATAGGCCTGTTTGGGGGTGTGGTATGTCCTTCACGTTGAACAACGAGGGCAAAGAAACACACCGTCTACCCCCCCCCCCACCCCTCCCCGCGTATAATTTTCTGTGCGACGCCAGAAGAAACCTGGAAGGGCTTATTCACATCATCTTGGATCAGCATCGAGATAGTTGTTGCTTAAATGAACATCAAGCTGCACCATAGGAAAAAGATGCGAGGGCGAGGTGAGGTTTAGGAGACATGTAAAGATCGCATTAACGATGAAAACAATTCGTCTTTGCATCTGTGTTGAATTCCACACTCCATCTCAATGTATTTGGTCGGGTCAATACAGCCCTGATCGATAAGGATAGCCAGTGCATCTATCAATTATCCCGCCTCAGCACTCTCACCCATTGGTCTCTCCCCTCGAGCAGAGGGGGAGGGACGGAGGAGAGGGAGGCGGAAGCTGGAAAAGGTTGGGAGAGGGGACAGCTGTTAGAAAAAAAAAAAAAAACGCTGCTCACATTTTACTCTCTATTTTGCTCTATTTTAATTTGATGTTTAAGCTTAATCGTTTGTTTGTTGTGTACTGCACTCATCTTCTCCTTGAGAACAACTTGGAATTGTCCTTTAAGAACACACAAAACGCTTAATGGTCTTCTTTTGAGTTGAACAGATGAAGTGGAGGATGTCGTGGCATCCGTGCTCCGTTTGAGCAAACAAAACAGGAAAAAAAAAAGCACAAAAATAAAAGCGCAGCAGGTTAATTTCCATTTGAATGGCTGGAGCACGTGCTGGGGTGGGCAGGTCAAGACCCTTAGGACACGGAGGAGAAACATGCCGGAAAATAAGGGTGGGGATGGGACGGAGGGGGGTGGAAGAATGGGTGGGTGGGGTGCTCTGTTCATGTTTCAATGGACTACGAGCAGTTTACACAAACCTAATCCAGGCAGAGGCATCTTCGTCACACTGATAGTTCTCCTCTACCTCACACGTGCAATGGCTTAGGTAATTCATCACCTTCATTGGAGGTGCATCATATTAACATACACTTATCTACTCTGTGTGAGTTTGATGCTTCAGTCCGACTGGAGATAAAACAAGTAAAACCACCGATTTCCCAATGAAGTCATTTTAGGACTGAGCGCTGTCCATGGTGCTGAACCGTCCGCGCTGTCTGCTCGGAGACATTTCAACGTGCTGTTGTTTTACATTCATACAGGTCTTAAACGCCATTTTTTCCTCTTCATCCAGCAGCTTCCACCCATTGATCAATATTACAATCCACAGTCGCGTCCATCACACCACCCTGCGCCTCATACTCCACCGACTCCATTTAAATCACAGCCTCTGCTGTGCCTGTATCTGGAAAAATGAAAAATAAATCCGAACGCAACAATTATTTGTCAAGCTACGTTCTTCATATGTCATTCATTAGAACGTCGTTAAGGCTGGGTCATCTGTATTCTTTTATTTTGTCCATAGAAAAATGTCTTGATGTTGTGAAATGATCGATCGGGGCTTTAATAATTGATTGGGAAGGGGGGTAAACAGTGCATCTGTGGTTTCAGAGCATCGTTGTTCGTTAAGCAACACCACCGCGTGCTGTAAGTACCGAGACAGACACACACGTACGAGCATAGCCTTTTGCAAACCCTGTGGGAGAGAGCAACAGCCATTTTCGTGAGATTATACCCAGAGGCTATTTTGTGGTTAAATCCTGGTTTGACTCGGCTCATTCCAGATGAAAAGACATCTCACGTCCAGCATCATTACCTGGACCCCGCCACGAGGAGGAGCCGTGGCTGGAATATGTGGATTAATTCCAGAGATGAGCAGGAATCATAATGATTCAACATGCAGCCACAAATGTGATTCTGTTGACACAAATGCAACTGGAGGTGCGATTTGAAGCTTGTTTTTGTTTTTCACGAGGTGTATGCAAACGTGTCCCCCCCACACACACACACATACACACACATGCATAAAGCCTGCATGTATGTGATCTGGATGTAGAGCGCGTTTTTTGCGCCACATTGTTAAGGCCGATCTGGCAAACCCTGAATCTGTATCGATTTCCATTCCTCGCGGCCTCTCCTTCCCAGCTCTGGAGCTGCGCCATGCCCCCCCCCCCCCCCCCCCACACACACACACACATACACCCCTCCAGCTTCACGCAGCACCTTTTCTCCCATTAACAGCTCACCTTCTCCAACAAATTCACACACTAACAGCAACACCTTCTCTGCCGTAGCTTAGTCCAAAACGGTGAAAAAGCACGAGATTCCCCCCCCCCCTCCCACACACACACACATCTCTGTTCCTGGATTAGTAGCGCCAGACGACTTAAAGTTCACAGTTGTTTAACCTCTTTTCACTCATTACGCTTTTCCCACCCACACTGACGCATCCCTCACCCCTCTCTGACCCTATTGTTCCAAATATTGGACTATTTTAATATAAATCGTATCATTCTGTCTGTCTGTCTGTGTGTCTGTCTGTCTGTGTGTCTGTCTCGCACGCTTCAGTTCTCGCGCGCGGTTTTAGCAATTAGAGTTGCAGTGGAGATCTGGACTCCGTACAGTCTCCAATCCCGTCTCTTCTATTTTAGTTGATCAATTCCTACCCCCCCCCCCCCCCCCCCCCCCCACCACCACCACCAATCCCCCGCCCCCTCACCGAAGCGGATCGATAGGAGAGAATGACCTTTAAATCAAATTGCTGGCAGAGTCAACGGAATGCACGCGGCCAGCATCAAAGGGTTAATGGCACTGCGCGCGCTACCCCATATACCAGGTACAAATATACATGTATACAAAGCAGCCTCGAAACCGGAAATAATCAAGATTAATGTGTTTGTGTGTGTGTGGTGTGTCTAATATTATTTGAAATTGTTAAGCGTGTTAGTAAATGTGCGCGCGCAGAGGCCGAACAAAAACTAATCAGACTGTGAGCTTTTGACCCCCCACAATCTGTCTGTGCTGGTTTACATAAGAGTCTGTTCCAAAGAGCAGGCTTTTGTTTTGCAATTAAAACCGCTGACCTGACCACA